GTTGTCCATTGTTGTCATCTTTCTTTGTTGAAATCAGGTCTCTTGTAAATGAGTCCTCGAGGCTCAATGGGATTTACCTGTCTAAATAAAGGTTGATTGATTGATTTGGATTTAGCAGCTTTTACTGCTTTCTGATAACGGCACTGACTCTCTTTAAGTATTTGAAAAGAGACCTGCAGCCTGTCTTTCCTCCATTTGCGCTCTGCCTCCTGCACTGCTGCCTAATGGCCTTGGTGACGTCATTCAGCCAAGGTTCTGCTCTGAGTTTTGATTTTTTAGTTTTAACAGGAGCGACATGATCCAGAATCTTTAAGCAGACAGAGTTGAACTGGGATGTCAGCTCTTCAGTGGTGGTGAGAAACACCGGGGGCTGAATTATCATTTCAGAGTTATAAACATCTGTGAAACGTGCGGCAGTGAAGTGGTTAATGGCCCGGCTACTACGTGCAGGAATGCACGGCATAGGAATTAGATGGGGAGTGTGAACTCAAACCGGACTGGCATGTGGTCTGAAAAAACATTATCACCAATTTCAAGATTATTAACAGTCACATCACGTGTTAAAACAAGGTCCAGTGTATGTCCGCGCTCTTGGGTGGGACCGTTTACATGCTGAGGTAGATTAAATGAGTCCAATAAATGTAAAAAGTCCTTAACCAAGGGCTTCTCCTGACAGCACACATGAAAATTAAAGTCCCCAATTATGAAAGCATGATCATATTTTGGTGTGATTTCAGCCAAGAAATCAGAAAACTCATTTATGAAATCCTTAGATCGAGGTGGGCGGTAGACGAGTGCGCATAAAGTCGAAGGCGAATGGCTGAGTTCAAAGACGCTCAGCTCAAAGTTGGCGCGAGAAACGGCGATGGGCAGTTGTTTACAGTCAACAGTTGATTTGAATATTGTTAATAATCCACCATTGCGCCGGCCTGATGGCACACAGACAGTTCGGTGGCAATAATTCCGTCAAAGCGCTGGACTCACCCGGAGACATCCAAGTCTCTGTGATGCAGAGAAAGTCCAAATTGTGTTCTTGAAAGTAGTCCCTGAGGACAAAAGTTTTGTTGGTAACAGATATTGCATTGACCAAACACATCCGAATACTGTCCAAAGTGGACCCAGCAGCGGTGGAGGGAGCGCGCGCCAGTGGCCGCAGATTTTCTATAACGGCACCTCCAGGTCGGCCCGTGTGGCGCACCAGCCAACAACTCCCGTTGTTTACCCGGTCCGGGCATGTGGGAAGCTGGCAATGTAAACCATGACCACCAGCTGGAGAGGAAGATGCAGCGCGCAGGGCTTTAAGCTTTACCAGCCGCCCAACACATTTTCCCCGGCGTCTGGAGCGATATCTCCAGGCAGGCAGGTGAGGAGCGCAGCAGAGGTAAACAGGCACGTCCGCCAGCAGCAGGGGAATGGGGGTCCAGCGGTACGCTCATAATGATCCAAATAAGTGACATCGGCGGCAGGAAAAACGAACATCCAGAAGCTGTTGTCGGTCATACACCAGCAGCGAGTTTATGTCCCAGATGAAGAACAAAACACAAATAATCCGAACACCATCAGCAGAGGTGGATTGCAAGCCATGTACATGGGTGCCATCTTACCGGAAGTCGGGAAGTTATTGCTAGTATTACTTAGCCTCCTGTGAATAGCAAACAGCCATCAGGGTGCTAATGATCCATTGTTAGGCTGATGGTCCTTCTTGATCATGTGAGCAGCTGGTTCAGTAGCAAACTGGTTGATCCACTCTGAGAAGGTGCTATTTATAAGACTGAGCTGAATACAGCACCTCAGACTGAGGAAGTCTCTCGGATGAAAGACGAAACGTTTCTACATTTTTTGTTTTTGTTTTGCTTTCTTTTGTTTTTTGAATGTCCTGAGGACCAGGTTTAACTTTTTTAGACTCATGGAAACACATTTCCACATGTCCAGTGTGTGATGCTGCAGCCATGTTACTGAGCTCTCACTGATAAGCTAACCTGCTGCAGAATATCAAACAAAATTATCATTATTATTATTATAAAAAAGAACAACTTGTACAACCCTGTCCAGATTAGTAGCAGGTACAGTATAAAATCATAAATGGTTCTTGTTGAGGAAAATTATCATATCTTCTTCTCAGTGTGAGTGTTCTGGACAGACAGTGTCTAGTGCAGTGGAGAACACACGTTTGCTGGGTGTAGAAGAAGCTTGAACACATAAATATGAGAAAGCAAAATCTGATAGTAAAGGATAAGACTTGTGTTGGTTCCACCACCAGCAGCAGGTCCTCAAACAGAACGGATGGTGAAATGTCCTGGTAGATCTGCAGCCCTCTCTCCACTTGTTTCTTCATGGACATGGAGCTGTGACATTACGTTGTGCCTCTTCCTCAGCAAAAAGCTCCTCCAGTGGAGACTTTCTGGACAGATTGCAGGGAGGCGATTCCTAAACAAACAACAGGTTCATCAGTATTATCAATAAAAAGAGATTATTAAAGGCATGATCATTATTAAGATTGAGAATGTGTAGGGTTTCTGGGTTTTTGTCCTGTCTCTGTCTGTTTCCTCATGTTTCCTGATTCAGCTCTCTGTGTTTTCCCTTCTTGTGTTCAGCCCCTGTCTCACCTGTGTCTCATGTTAATCACCACAGGTGTCTGTCATTATCCCAATCAGTGTTGTGTGTATTATATTCAGCTCCTCTGCGTCTTGTCTTTGTCTCGGGATTATCCTTCAATGGTGTTGTGTTTCTGCCTTCCGTCCAGTGTCACTTACTGAGTAAGCTGATGCGTCAGCCTTTGCTTTGTTTTTTGTATAAATAAATATTTTTTTGATTTTCCACGAGCCTCTTGTCATCCTCCTGCAATTGGGTTCAACACTCCTGACGGCAGAACGCGACAGAATGTATATAATTTAAGCTATCATACACTTACACTCTCATCCTCCACTCCCTCATTCTCAGGCCTTACCTCAGACTGCATGGTGACCCCATCATCTCCACAGTCTTCCTCTGTTGACCACAAAGAACATTACTAGTATTTAGATTTCAGTTTTTAATAGAAAAGGACAGTTGTGCATGAATGACATTTCATCTGCTCAATCAGCTTTCTCTGGATCTGCTCCCAGACACGTCATCCAGCTTCTGTTTAAAGCACAGAGCAGCTCTTTTCCACCTTATAACAAGATAGGATTAACACAAAGTTTGTTTTCTCAGTCATCCAGGTATATAACAACAAAAAAGGTTGAATCATGTCATCTGGACTTCGTTTTTTTGTTAACCATTAGTGAAAAGGCCAGACTTCAGGGGTATCTGAGGCAGGCTTGAAACACAAGAGTCAGGGTGGCTTCTGGGTAATACCAGATGGCTAGGCCTCAGACTGACGAAGCCTCTTGGATGAGGGGCGAAACGTTTCTTTTTAACAAAAAAA